GGGGGGGGGGGGGGGAATGCAAACCTTACCTTTACCTGGGCCAGAGAGGATGTTCCCATGAGGACCCACAGCTTGCAAAATAAATAATAGAAGAACAAGCGAGCAAGCTAAGGGACCAAGTTACAGGTAAGAGTGTGCAAACAAGCAAACAAAAAATGAATCAGGACATAAGGGAAAAAGGTTACACACAGAAGGGTACGGGAAAAACAAAGCACAAGATTATCATAAACTCGTTTCAAAGGAGTATGTTGAAAAGTTCCAATGATTATTAGACTTGTTACCAAAAAACCAAACCAAACCAAACAAATCCATTATGTTCCACTCGGAAGTGGGGTCTGAGGAGGGTGGGATGTACGCAAACTTGACCTCTACCACAAAGAGTAGAGCAGTTATTTCTATGAAGACCTTCGGCATGTGCAAAGTGTGCAAAAAGAAATGATAAAACTTGCTCAAAATAATTTTAAATAGAAAAGGAAAGAGAATATGAAAAATGAATGGCAAAACTAGAACTGAAAATGGGTCAGAGATAAGCAACAACAAACAAACAAACAATCAAAGAAAACACCCATACAGAAATAATGCACGTACAAGAAAACATAGCCAAGATAGGAATACCGATAAAACAGTCTAACCCAGGAGATCTAAAATTGTTAGATCTGTAATTCACATAATCACATATGCTCATTACTAATTAGCAGTTGCATATACGAACCTTGAGATGTTGCATGTGCAGTTCCTGTTGAAGAACTGAATGTGAAGGCATGAGGTGCTGTCTTTACACATGAATAAGGACACCCTGCACATATAACATAGGTCATGGAGATGTTACGTATTAGAATCCAAATATAAGGATTAACTTCTATAACAACTCCAGCTAATTAATGGGTCGAGTGTTCATGATGGTTTTATAATATCCTAAGATTCTGGTTAGGTTCCTTCCACCTGTGATGAGAAGAGCATAGAACTCCACAAAGAAACAAAAACAGAAATTCCAGCAGGGGCATTTTTACTAGCTTATGTTCTAAAATAGAGGGTCCAAGGAGAAAGTAGAACCTCATTAACAAAGATACTAATTATGCATTTTAAAGTGAAGCAGAAAGATTAAAATTATAAAGAACGAAGAAGTTCTGACCTTTGCCAACACATAGAACCTCATTAACAAAGATACTAATTATGCATTTTAAAGTGAAGCAGAAAGATTAAAATTATAAAGAACGAAGAAGTTCTGACCTTTGCCAACACATAGAACCTCATTAACAAAGATACTAATTATGCATTTTAAAGTGAAGCAGAAAGATTAAAATTATAAAGAACGAAGAAGTTCTGACCTTTGCCAACACATAGAACCTCATTAACAAAGATACTAATTATGCATTTTAAAGTGAAGCAGAAAGATTAAAATTATAAAGAACGAAGAAGTTCTGACCTTTGCCAACACATAGAACCTCATTAACAAAGATACTAATTATGCATTTTAAAGTGAAGCAGAAAGATTAAAATTATAAAGAACGAAGAAGTTCTGACCTTTGCCAACACATAGAACCTCATTAACAAAGATACTAATTATGCATTTTAAAGTGAAGCAGAAAGATTAAAATTATAAAGAACGAAGAAGTTCTGACCTTTGCCAACACATAGAACCTCATTAACAAAGATGTCAAGTGCCTCACATTCAGGAGCATCAAAGGGGTCTAGACATTCACTACAATTTCGTAAGAAAATAATTACAACCATAAATCTACAAACCCAAAATTAGAATTGACAAGAAAAACGAAAAGGACAAAAGATGTAAGGCCAAAGCCGTAGTGAAAGTATACATGCCTTTCAATGATCTCTGATTTGCTTAAATTGGATAACACCTACAGAAATTAAAATTCAAGATTTTGATGAGTACACGTTATTCGTAGCATGGTTTTATCTTTGAGAAAGTTAGAAATTTTCTTAATATGATCAAAGAAGCTCAGGCATCATAGCTACAGAAGAATATCAGTTATCAAATAATTAAAACAAAGAGAAAAACAGAAGAAGAAAAGGTTATAGATTCTCATGATGAATTGATGCATTATACAACTCGAACATTTAACCTTGTTTTATTTCCATGCCTCTTTTTATATGTAATCTTATCTTACAGAAAGCTAAACTAAAAAACTTGATTAACAGTTACCGACTTAATCTGGAAAATCATCTACCTCATAGGCCTGAATGACACGACGAATCATTATATCCGAGCTATCATCATCACTATTTCTAACATCAGGATGAAATTGTTTCACCTGGAAAGAACAATAAGAGCATGAATGATTACAGATAGAACAAATTTACTAATACTCTCCCCTAA